ATGGACAAAACCGATAGTAGCTTTAGCGTGAGCAAATTGAGTCGGTGAGTTCAACTCTCAATGAAAGCACCAATGTTAAGGGACGCGAACCCTTAAATATGGTTTCAGTAACAGAACCAAGAAACAGAGAGAAAATAAGGAAAAGAAACGAAACAGATTTGTATATATTTCTTGAATGAATATCAATGACATGTTACACTATATTTTATACAAAGCAATACAACTAACTTCCTGCTAGAGTTAACTAACTCACCAACCGAATGACACATGCACCTATACATGTGTTGAACTCAATCGTTCCCACCACTTGACTAATTACATGCAGTTCACACTGATACAGAATATGACTCTTAAAAGAATTCAAGCAACTAAGTCACAAATACTACTCACAAACTATTACACCAGGGTAACTACTACTAAACTCCTACTTACAACTAACTACTTACCCGTAACATAAGTTTTGTGTTTAATTTCTATGTATCCAAGAAAAGAAAAGAAAAGAAATAAAGCAGAGCAAACCTATCGAAGGATGGTAGCTCAATTGACCGAATAAATAAGGGTGATAGCATCTTCCATCCTACTGAAAGGAATTCAAAATTTTAATTTTAGGACCAGCCCGAACGTACTAATTGCAAAATAACGAACAGATTGAAATGTAAAAAAAAAAAACAGGCAGCACCAGAGTCCATTGTTATGGAAGAGGAAAGCTATCTGCACAAGACACAACCACTGCAGAGAGAGTTTCTCTACACATGGCACCGCCTGCAAGCTTGCTTACTCTGCATAGAGAGAAAACCATAGAACAAAAATAGGAGTTGAGAGTTGGAGGAACAGTGACTAAAATGTTACTCTTCGTCAACTTTTTTACCTAAATGTCACGCGAACAGTTTTATTTCTCAATCTATCACGGGGGGCGAGTTCGTTATCCAGTGAAGCGAACTCGGTTTGCGGACGTGTCACGTTTTTAGTGGACACCAAGTTCGCTACCCTGCGTAGCGAACTTCAAACCTTTTTTTTAATTTGGTGCTTGTTATCCACTAAAAACGTGACACGTCACCAAACCGAGTTCGCTACATCGGGTAGCGAACTCGCCCCTGTGACAGATTAGAAAATAAGACTGTTCGCATAAAAAGTTGGTGAAGAGTGGTACTTTGGTCACTATTCCAGAGTTGGAAGCAACTGCCACCAGAAGAAATCGGAGATAACTATTCAGCCTGTCTTGCAACGCATCGAAGATAGATAGATGCCTGATCCATTCTCACCAACGCTAGAGATATGGAGATGGATATAAGGGGAATAAGGATTCAGGGACAGTCTAGAAACATTGAAGAGAGAGTGCAAGAAAAAACGAAAGAAAGGAGAAGAGAAAGCAGGGCATCTAGGATTTCAAAGGGAGGCTCAAAATTCGGAGGATTTAGTGAAAAGAAAAGAGAAAGAAAAGGGAAAAAGAGAGATCCTGTACACATGGAAAGGTAAAGAAAAAGCGATGTCTGTGGGGATTATTGTCAAGTGAAGAGGTTGAAGAGAGGAATAAAAGTTCTTATTGGAATTCAAGCTACTCGAAAGCTATTTTTCTTTCTCTCCAATATAATTTCATCTGTAGCTATTACCATGGCAAGAAAACTGAGTTGTTGAAAACAATGTATCCTGATTGTGGTGATTACTCATATATAATACTCCTTGAGTCTGTGTTATTCCTACTAGGCACTCACTTACATTTTTGGATTGTCAATAGGGTTTTCATCTATTATTGCCTACTTCCTATTTGACGAAATGCTTGATAAAATTCCTCTCTATTTAGAGCTTTGTCTGAGACTTACACACTTTCCATTTGATTTTGCTTGCCTTGATGTTACTGTGGATACGATCGATGACTCATGTCGGAATAAAAGGCATGGATCAAGTGTCTCTTTTTATTTCATAAGTTAGACCAAACAGGTTTTGGAAAAAATTCTTATAACGAAAAACTCTTTTTTTTTATAACGAAGAAAAAAGATGAAAACTAAAAGTTCCTAGGAGGAGCTTTTTTTTAATGTTTTTCTTGAATTGTGTATTTTTTTTAAATGAAGAGTGATAAAGATAAAGATAGAGATAATTTTCTTGAAATATGTGATTTTAAGTAATTTTTAAGCTAAAACTTTTATGTAATTTTCAAACAGCTTTTAGCTTCTTTTTTTAAGCTTTAGCTTATAAGTAGCTTCTAACTTAAAAATAAGAGGATCCAAACAGGCTCCTGCAACATTTGTACTAAAATAAAAATTAAAAATTCTTGCAACATGTAAAATTGTAAATACGATAGGAACACCGACCAAAATGTCATTGTTCACTAAGTTTTTTACCTAAATGCCACGTGAACAGTGTTATTTTCCAATCTGCCACGGGGACAAGTTCGCTACCCGGTGTAGGGATTCAGTTTGCTGACGTGTCATATTTCTAGTGGATAAGAAGTACCCAGTTTAAAAAAAACAGATGGAGTTCGCTACATTGGGTAGCAAACTGGGTTAAAACCAAGTTCTCTATCCAGTGTAGCGAATTTGGTGTCCACTAGAAACGTGACACGTCAGCAAACTGAGTTCGCTATACCGAATATCGAACTTGCCCCCGTGACAGATTAAGAAATAACACTATTCATATGGCATTTAAATAAAAAACTTAGTGAACAGTGATATTTTGATCACTGTTCCAATACGATATTTGCTTTTTAGTTAAGCATGATGATCATTAATTTTGGACTCCTTTTTGTATTTGAACTGTCATAGCCAATTGTCCTTCTTTGAGGGGAAATCTGTCTATATATTGAAATATGAAATTTTCCGTTTGCTCTCACTCGTTCATGATCTGTTCATTTTCTCAGGATTCTAATATGGGCATGTAAAATACACTTTAACCAAAGTTGATTTTAAAATATAAAAGTGGGGCGGTGTGACATCTTCTTTCTGTTTTGATGTGGATTAATCTTATTTTATGAATAATAAGTTAGTTTTGTATGACTTTATTTTTTATATAATCCATAAACACCGAACAAAAATTTGTACATCCAATAACCATTTTCAAATGGATGTATCATGAATGCAGTGAGATTATATTTTCATTTTTTTATGCATAATTAAACTCCTGAACCTTGGCTAAAGAAAAATGTTTTCTAATTTTTTCAAATTAAATAAAATTAGCAATGATTCTATATATGTTTTTTTTATCAAATAATTTCGGATCGTTACATAGTGGGGAGAATCTATTAAGGAAAAAAATAAATATGAATTTGATCTATTTTTTATGTATTGCATAAGAAACATATTTTTCAACTTACTTTATTAAAACGGGTTCTAAAAGATTTAATGAAATGGAAAACTAGAATATGTTTGTGTTAAATATATGAGTTTTATTAATCTCATGTTGTAGGAGAGTAATTTTCTCTTATCATAGAAATAATCATAGGTGGGACCCACTCATTTATACAAAATCAAAAAAATAAAAATTAAACTAAACGGAAATTAATGGGTGTGTAGGAAATAGATATTATCTTATGTTGCATAAAAATAATATTTTCCTAAATATATATAATACATCCTTTTTGGCCGGGAAGCGTTCAGTATGTCCTTAAAATTTAAGGGTGAAAAGTTATTGAAAAAAGAAGTATCCTTTTAAAGGATACAAGTTTGTGTCTTTTTAAGTGATTTACACAAAGTCTGACCGGTAAGACTTTGTATAAATATGAAAAGTTATTTTATTTTCTTTCTTCGAATTCACATCGCTGACGAGTAAAGTAAAAAAAAAACTTTTCAGATTTACACAAAATATTATCGGCCAGATTTTGTTAAATCACTAAAAAGACACCATTTGTGTCATTTTAAAGGACATCAACTCAAACCCAAAGTTATTAGACAAATCGTCAACACATTAAAATTCAGTTTTATCTCATAGCTATGTTCATAAAAAATAGAAACAACTTTTAACCCTTAAAAGTTAGAGTTTGGTGTTTGTCATTTTAAATGACATAAGTTATGTCATTTTAAGTTATGTCATTTTTTCTCTCTTAAAATGACCTAACTTTGTATCATTTAAAATGACAAACATTTTTTCCTAACGGGGCATTTTGCAGAGGAGAAAAACAATTTTATCTGAGAATCTCGATTTTCAAAAATATGATTTTTACATTCAGTTTACGATAATATCCAAAAATTTAAAATTTAAAAAAATTCATTTTTTCGAAAATCTTGAAAAATGACACGTACCAAACACCCCCTAAAAATTAAGCATATCTGCGCACAAGACTTGATTATTAAAAGCGTCAAAATAAATTATGAAATTTGGGTTGACTCGTGACACCACATCAAAAATTTGTGTTTGTTACAAAAAAATTCGTATCATATCGTTTATCAAATTTGTGTCGATTTGTATTTGTTTTAAATTATTATTTTTTTAATTTCAACCCATTTTTTAATTGTTTTTTCACTTATCGTTTGACCTATAATTTATATGTTATTTATGTTGTATCATGTCAATCAACAAAAAAAATTCATATTATATTCGTGTTAAAGATTTTAACATTAACAAAAATTCGTATAAATTCATATCGTGATCATATTGACGTATTCATTCAAATTTATATCGTATTAACTCGTTTCGACACCTGCTGATGTTATTATCCCCAATCGAGATAATCCCAAATCCAACGGTTCATTATCCAAAAACAAATGCAATTATAGCAAATTCTCTTCATCTCATTTTTAATCTATATCGGTGAGTTAAGAGTGGCGTTCACATCTTTCCTTTCCTCTTCTTAACGAATCAGCAACACTCTCTACTCTCGCAGTATTGCCACGTGTCCCGTTGATTTCAATATTGTATTTATTTATTTGGAGTTTCCTTCGTTCTCATGTATTTATCACTCCCCACCAAACTAACTACCTTTTTTCACATTTACATCAATTCTAATCAAATCTTTTCAAACTCTGAATTATCTTTTCTCGCACTTTCTTTTCTATTTTCTCGGGAAAATTATCTCACCGGAAAACTTCAATTGCTTTTGCCTCGCGATCTCTTCAGCGGTATTCCGAACTCCTATTTCGCTTCTCGAATTGCTCAAGTTTGGGGACGAGCGAGCGAGGGAAGGTCCTTGGTCAAACGAACGCGTTGTTCGTTAACCCCATGGAGAAGAACGCGGTGTGCACATCGGAGTCCGTCGATGGAAGCCGCGATGTGTGGAGCTCCAAATCCTCCGATTCTTCCTCCGCTGATCATCTCGTTGTCATGGTCAATGGAATTCTCGGAAGGTATATGATGGCATTTTCGCTCAATTCCTTTTATTGATTTTGATGAAATGCTGATCCTGTTGATTTATTCGATCGTGTTTTTTTTTATGTTCGTGTGTTGGTTATTGTTATTCGATTGGAATTTTGAGATTATGTGCTGTGAATGTGATTGTTTGAATTGATTCTTGTTTCTTGGTAAATTCCTGTATTTTTTTTTATTTTTTTTTGTTGAATGGATACGTTTAGTGTTATCAATTTAACAGATTTTGTGTTTGTTGCATAAAGTGGATGATTCATGTTTTAACTGTTTGTTCCTGCAGTGCAACAGATTGGAAGTTTGCGGCAGAGCGATTTGTTAAAGAGCTTCCCGATAAAGTGTTTGTTCACTGTAAGGATCATTGTTATCTTTCAAAAGCTTTGATGATCATACCATGTGGTCAAAACAAGAGCGTCTGACTTAAAGAGATTATTTTATTTATGTTATGACTCTTTTACTTGTGAATTAAGCAGCTACAATTCATCAATAGTATGTCTGCCTTTGATCTCATGCAGAATTTCATTCTCATAAGCTACTGTGATTAATATAGTTGCTACTTTTCCTTGGAATCAGACAGTTTGGATATAGTGTCTTAGCTATTTAGAATAACATTAGTCTTGGTATGGTGAACTTTCGATGATTCACTATTCTAATTATAGACCTGGTGAAATTGTAGTTTATGGTGCTGAGAAATTTGAAGTCTTCTTGTTAATGGAATGTCTATTCTTGTTTACTTATAAAGATTTGTCTTTGGTTATTTAGGAGTGTTAAATATCATAACCCGAGAGAATGTGGTGAATTCCGTGTATTTCAACTACACAACAGAGACTTTATGATATAGCTGAATGAAACGGAATTACAAAGAGATCTTCTCTCATACTAAACTACTCTATACTGTTCTATTTACTACACACTCTCTCAAGTCGGAGCATATAGATTATATGTACCAAACTTGTTACAAATGTAGTCTATTCGAGGACTTCTCAAAGACTTGGTGAATACAATAGCTAGTTGATAATTTGAGTTAACAAAATTGGTGGGTATATCTCCCGAGATGACATTTTCTCTGACGAAATGACAATCTATTTCAATATGTTTAGTCCTTTCATGAAGTAGTGGCTTGGAAGCAATATGCAAAACAACAGGATTATTGCAAATGAGAGTTGCAGTAATGAGTTGTTTTATTCAAACTTGAGCTCCTTAAGTAGTTGTTTTAGCCAAATGAGTTCACAAGTAGTTGTGGCCATAGAACGATACTCTGCTTTAGCACTCAATCTGTCAATTACACTCTTTCTCCCTTTTACATGTTAGTAAGTTATCTCCATCAAATACACATTATCCAAAGGTAAATGTTTGATTAGTGGGGCAACCTTCCTAATCAATATCTTGGTATCCCGCAGCCAAGCTATGACCTTTGTCTTCATAGAAAAGAACTTTTCCTAGAGCTATTTTAATGTACTTGAGAATACAAATCACTCATCTTAGTAATCTTCACAAGTAGAAATAAGAAACTGACTTATCACACTAATTGCAAATGAGATGTTTGATCAAGTGACTATGAGGTAGTTCAACTTCCCAACTAATTTTCTATACCTTTCTGGATTTGAGAATGACCCTTCTTGATTTGGCAGAAACTTGATATTTGGATTCATAGTAGTGTCGACTAAGTTAACATTCAACAAAGTTGTTTCATCAAGAATGTTCATAGCATATTTCCTCTAGGATATCACAATGCCATATTTGGATTGGGCTACCTCTATCCCTAAGAAATATAAGAGTCTTCCAAGGTCCTTTGTCTGAAAATGATGGCAGAGATGTTTTACCTGAGTAATGCCATGATGATCATCACCCGTAATGACAATGTCATCTACATACACTACCAAAGAAAACTCTAGGGCTGCAAGCATATGGAGAAGGAGTGGTTAGGGGCGGTGATGGTGGGGTAGATTGAACCAAAGGAGTGACCAGAGGAGATGGTGGTGGGTTATATTCAACCGAAATAGGGGGTAGAAATAATTGAGCATAGACAGAGTCATTGGGAAAGGTGGAGCCAAAGAACGGGTAGACTCAAAGAAAGTAACATTTGCCTAGATAAAGTAACGACAAAAACTAGGAGAGTAACAACGACAACACTTGTGTTACTGAGGGTAACCAAGGAACACATTGTGACTTCGCAGCAAATTTATCAAATGCGGCATGTCGCGGTCAACCCCGAAAAACGCTATAGTGTTATAGCGGGTTGCGGTTGCGGAAATAGCGGAATAGATATATGACAGAAATAATGACAAAAAGAAACATTTTTTAAAGGCAGAGATAGCAGAAGTGACAGAGAGAGATGCAGATAGACTAAAAAACCCTTAAAAATTTTCTGTTACACAATTAAATTTAGGACAACATTGACATTTTGCCTTATGACAGCAATATAGCCGCAAATGTGATCGCAATGGCCGCTATTGCATTCTGGTGCGGCGCGGTGCGGTTTCTTGCGGCGAGGCACCGCAACTCCCATACGGCGCGGCTAGCGGTGCTATTGTGGTACTATTAACTACTATGCTTCGCGGACCACCTGTTAGAGACTGAGACTGAAGTCATGGACAAAACAAGTAGATACAAGGACATTAGGGGCCAGGGAATGCAACTGTTGATGGGGAATAAAGACAGAGTATAGTATTTGGTTATCAAGGACTGAGGAGTGAGGAGGGCATGCTATTAATGAGATGGGAAGCAGTGAGGACATCTCCCCAAAAATAGAAGGGAACATGGCATTGGAGTAAAGGTTTCCGAGTAGTTTCAATGAGGTGATTGTTTTTGCATTCGGCAGCCACATTTTGTTAGGGGGTGTGCAAACATTATGTAGGGTGAAAGATGTTGTTAGATGCAATTTTTTTTTGAAATTGATGGGATAAATATTCAGGGGAATTAATACTACAAAAGTGAAAATGAGAACAGCAAAATGAGTAAGTAGTACATTATAAAACCGGTAACAAGAGTAATCATCAATAAAAGTAACAAAGTATCTTGACCCTATAGTAGAAACAATACAACTTGGACACCAAACGTGTGAATGAACCAAAGCAAAAGGAAATGAAGCTCGACGACTTACTCGATTGGGAAACAAACTACGAGTGAGTTTCCCAAACTACCATAGCTCCCACGACAAACTAGATAAGGTAGACAAATGCGGCATTATCTTCTTGAGTTTAGCAAGACTCGAATAACCCAACTGAACGTGAATGGTAAGCGAAAAATCCATAACAGAGCACACCTGGGATGTGGTGGAAAGGTTATAAAGACCATTGGACTCAGATCGAGCACCAATTGTTTTCCTCGAACTCTAGTTTTGCAAAATCACGAAATTTTAGTAAAGCAAACAATACAGTTAAGAGACCTAGTTAAGCGACTAATGAAAATGAGATTGAAGGAAGAATTAGGGACATAAAACATAGGGTTATACTTTCTCTAGTCACAGGAGAAAAATTCTCTTTCCTGCCCACACATTACAACGTGTGGGGTCCATTGAAAAGAGAAAAGGAAAAAAAATGGGACCCACACCTTGTATTGTGTGTGCAGGAGAGGGAATTTTTCTCTTGTAATATGAGACAAGTATAACCCTAAAACATATTATCAATGAAATAGATGGAAAGAGGATAACAATGTCATTCCCTTGGTACTGAACCAACAAACCATTAGCCCCGGTAAAAGTGGGCAAGGGACCAGATGTGCAGAAAGAAGTGAATTAAGACTAATTACTTGAAATATAGTTTGACGCATCAGAATCGAGAACCCAAGGGTCAAGAGAGTGCGATTGAGAGACACCAGCAAAGGAATTACTTGTGTGCAAGAAAGGCATTTGAACTGGAAGCACGCTTCTCCTCATACCATTGCATGACGTTAGTGACAATAGACGGAGGTGGCTGTGGTGTAGTAGTCAACTGAGAGTTAGAGGCAGATGAGGCTTGAGAAACATAAGCTAAGTAAGGAGGGCGACCATGAAGATCCCTGTTGGGATCAATAGTATGGCTTAACTTGTTGCAATTAGTGTAGTGATTGCAACCCTTAGAGGATTTGCATGCATAACTAGAACCCTAGAGAGAATTGTTTAGGAATCAACCAGTGAGGGAACAGGTGCAAGTGCAACAGGCATCATAGGCTCCTTAGAAATTATAGGTGAAACCCTAGCAATGTTGATTAAACAGAATCTAGAGTTGAGATAGTGGTAGAGCCGGCTAGCAGAGTACTCCGTGTAAGCCATAAAGAGCCAATAATATGAAAATGGTGTTCTGGTGCTTAAGTTCATTAGCAAGGTCCTCAGCAGGGGGTAGAAGGTTATTTATGTTGTGAATCACTTCATGAACCTTCCCTAAATAAGCAACACCCTAGAGACACCTTGTTAGTATAAGGCTCCTTGACCTAATGCCATACAGACTCACAAGTAACATGAGCACGAAAGATCAGCTTGAGTGACGAGTGGATAAAGGACTTGATGATGCTGCGTTACTGGGCATTAACCTTTTTCCACCGAGGGCCTTCATTCCCACAACAATAGAGTTTGCCTTAATGCTGTAATGATCAGCATAATCTTGTCCATCAAGCCAAAGTTTGAGCTCGGAAGCCAAAGAGTCATAATTAGAGCCATCCAAATTGTCCATGTATAACGGAGTATTAACAAAATTGTTTAAAACTTGAAAACTAGTTCCTCGAGCTTCAGAGCATCCTTGGATGCATCACTGGGTTGAGAGTCAACCATATGTCACGTGGAAAAAAAAAAGACAAAAAATGGCATGAACAAGTACACGAAGGAGAAAAAGTCTTAGTGCCACCAATAAGAGAGTTGAAACCATAAGATCCATACAAACTTGGAATTGGAACATAAGGACGAGTCACCTAGAAGAAGTCGCCGGCAAAATGGATGCCACACGTGCTCCCACAATCCTTTGCAGCGACCTGGACCCCGCTTCCAGTTTGGGAATGCGACTTGGATAGACATGACCACCTGCAAACAACGGTCAAGATAGTGGATGTCTTGCTTAAAATTTTTCCAGTCAACGGCAGTCATCGACGGTCACATGGCGGTTGAACAATGATATAGGCTCTGGGATGGCTTCTGAAGAAGGTCTGAGGTAGGAAATTGACGGACGTGACAATTTCAGTGAATTTTTTTACTAAACGGGTAGTGGGCTTACCGGATAGATACAGATTTGAGTTCTTCTCTTTATGCTGTGGATACTATGTTGAATATTAGGACCCGAGAGGTATGTGAAGAAATCCATGTGTTTTAACTACGCAACGAAGATTCTATTATATAACACAACTCAAGGAACTACAAAGAATCTGAAATACAGAAACTTAGTCCCTGAAGGCTTCCTGATTTCCTCCTTACTTTTATTCTTCAAAATATGCATACCCTCCATTTTCTCTCCCCCTGCTGAATGACGACCTGAATCTACCATCCCACTACCCCCTAATTCCTCCTCTCCATTCACAACTTGCCACTTGCACTCTTTTCTAACTCACTCCAATTTTTCCATGTTAACAGTTCTTTTCCTGTTATTACTATAGACACTGCAGCCATAAACTTTGGGTTGACTATTACTTTGGGCCTTATTTTTAACCTTTCTCCTGTACACAAATCTCATTGCTCATCTCTAAATAATTATATGAATTTCCGTTAATTAATAAGATAATCAAAAGGAGATCCTAATTGATTTCTAAAAATAAGGAAACAAAAAATACAATGGTTTCCACAGATTTATCAAGTTTGAATGTTTAGGTATATTTTACTTGGCTCCTTAATGGACCAGTTTGTATGCTTTCTGTTTTAGATGACTTTGTTTTTTTTAGCATATTAATTTCTTCAGGAAACTAGAGCAGGCTTTAGATTTTTTGTGTATTGTGCTTGCTTTTACATTTTCCCCATCTTATTTTACGCAGGTAGCCAACGAAATGTGTCTATGTTGACACTAGATGGTGTGGACATAATGGGAGAGCGATTGGCGGAGGAGGTAAGTATTTCACTATATAGAAGATTTGTTTTATGTCATTTGAAAGTGAATTTAACCTAATTTCTCTATATTATCCATGGACAGAGATTATATTACCTGATTCTTATCATTTATATAAGTTTTATAAATATTATCGTGTTTATGATAGATGATAACGAATGTCTTCAGTTGTTATATATATATATACACCAAATCATGTAAGGTATACTGCATCAAATATGTTTTTACATATCTTCTCTACCACTTATAAAGCATAACCTGTTGAAAGCATTCTATGTGAAGCTTTCATAAAATGTTCATGAGTGATGTATAAGAAAACAAAGGTCTTTCTATAGTAGAATTCTGGTGGGATTTAATGTTCTAAAGTTTTGGGCTGAAAAATCTTTAGTCTTAATATCTGACTACATAATCTTCAGGTGGGATTTAATGTTTTTCTTTAGTCTTTAGTCTTAATCTTTAGTCTTAATACCATGGCATTGAATACATAATCATTATTGCTATTTACAACAAATTTAACTTTTAGGTCCTTGAAGTGATTCGAAGAAAGCCAAATATGCGTAAGATCTCCTTTGTTGCACACTCAGTGGGAGGGTTAGTGGCACGATATGCGATTGGGAAGCTGTATAGGCCACATGAAAAAAAAGATACTGAGGACTCGAGCAACAAAGATAGTAAGGAGGACTCAATGGGTACAATATGTGGCTTGGAGGCTATGAATTTCATAACTTTTGCTACACCTCATCTGGGGTCAAGGGGCAATAAGCAGGTACCAACATCCTATATTTACTTTATGTTGTCCATATCTAAATGATATGGGTTAAAGAAACTGTTGAGATGTAATTATTCTAGCTTAGTTTAGTCTGCAGGTTCATTGTACATATGATTAGTTAGGTCCCGTGTGATTATTACATTAATATATATGCAGTTGTCTCTTGCATGCATTGACATAGCATGTGCTTCTCTTATCTCCCTCTCTCTTTCAACATGGTGTCCTGAGCCTAAAGAGAGGCCATCCAAAACCGTTCATGCCAAGTGGACCTGCTGCCCACTGTTGAATTTTTTTTCAGCCTATCTGCATGGTTGTGTCTCACCATAAATCAGGGATGATCATGTAGTTCTTGCACTTTGTTGGGATATTTTCTTGAAAAAGGGTTGCATCACCTTCTGCAATTTGGGTATTTAAATATGTTGACTGGGTTTTGAATTTCAGGTTCCATTTCTTTTTGGGGTAACTGCATTTGAGAAACTTGCAAGTTGTGTTATTCATTTGATTTTTAGAAGAACGGGTCGGCATCTTTTCCTTACTGATGATGATGAAGGAAAACCTCCATTGCTTAAACGCATGCTTGAAGATTCTGATCAATGTTATTTCATGTATGTTTGTTGCTTACCTCATTTGTTTCCTTATATATATGGAGTTTATTGAGATTGTTTCCTTTAAGGGGTCTTCATGTTCTGCAGGTCTGCATTGCGTACCTTCAAACGGCGGGTTGTATATTCAAATGTGGGCTATGATCGTATCCTTCATATTAGCTTCTTCTGTCTTCATTGCATATTTTTTCATTTGGTTTTCCTTTACTAAAACAACTCTAGATATTGTTGGCTGGAGAACATCATCCATTAGACGTGATTATGAACTTCCAAAGGTATGTTTGCTGACAACTTTTTTTATGCTACCTGATTTAACGGATCATTTGTTACCATTTAGTGATATAAAAATATTTGGTTGGCAGTGGGAGGATACCCTCAACGAAAAATATCCACATGTTGTATATGAAGAGCACTGCAAAGCTTGTGATGCTGAGCAGTGTGACTTAATGGAAGATAACAGCTCTGACAAGATAGAAGGTTGGCATCTCCAGTTTTTTCTTTTTTCTTTTTTAATTACCTTATCTGCCGTTGTTGCCTTGTACATTTGAAAACTCTATGGTCTCTAGGAAGTTTGCTCTCTTTTTTCTGTTTTCCCCCACACTGTGTGCTCAGAACATGGTTGACCTTCTCGTGCTTTGCCTCCGCCATATGATCTTTGTGCATTCAGTTCTGTGTAGATACTATAGATATTAACCTAGGGCTGTTCATTAAACGTTGGGATTTTCTGTCCTTCATTTGCAGTTCTGTCTAGAGTACTACGGGTATTATTAACCCAATACTGTTGCTAGCTAAATGTTGGGATTTTCTTTGTCCTTCATTTGCAGATAGACATTATATCCTTAATTGTTTGTTTTAGTAAAAATCCATAATCTTGTGCATCAAATAATTGTTTTCTCTATATACAAAATTCAAATTTGTATGCATTAAGTAATCCCAGTAGAAAGTTGAGCATTATTCATGGAGTGCAGTCAAACCACGAGAAATATAAAACAATCTCTGAAAATAACCCTGATAAAAAATGGCAAGTTTCTTGCTATTGATCCCTTAAATACACCTTGGGGTCGTTAGGAGAGACCATAAAAAATCCTTACTCTAAATTGCTGTCACTTCTACTAAATTTGGTTTTTATAGAGCCCAATACTGTTTATTGATCCATTTGTCCTACATAGTAGGATAAGACTTGGTTGTAATTGTCGTTGTTGATCTTTCCCTATATAATTAAGTGTTGCTTAAAATTGTACAAAGGAGTAATGTATGGTATGTTTCTTTTATGTTATTTTTTGTTCTCCAAATTGTAAGATTTCTAACTGGAATGAACACCTGCAGAGGAATTGGTAACAGGCTTATCTTGTTTGTCATGGGAAAAAGTAGATGTGAGCTTCCACAGTAGCAGACTGAGATTTGCTGCTCATAGTGTCATTCAGGTCTGTGTATTGGCACTGCTCTTGCTATCCCGTTGTCTGTATGTAGCGTATCCTTTAATTTCTGATATATGGCACTATCATAATTCATCATAACTAATTAAAGTTTTACTCTATTAATACAGCATTCTTATGTCAGACATGATATTATATTTCTTTGAATACGTCGTTTTACCTGCCTATGTCCTTTATCCATCTTTTACAATGGCTATTTTTACAGGTCAAAGACCAAATCACACATATAGAAGGTGCAGATGTTATACAGCACATGATTGATCATTTTCTTAACTAGAAGCTGTTTTTCTTTAGAGTTGTATACTTCCCTCCTAGCAATATAAGCTTATCATAGGTAAATCTGAAATGGCTATGCTATCTATAGTTAAACCTGATTGATATTCAAATTTATCCGAAATTGAATTCGTTGCAGGATGGAAACATTTGGCTCCCTGAGTAACAAAGTTCTCCACTAGTTGAGGTCAAAAAGCAATTCAAAATTTGTTTTTTCGTGATCCTTAACAATGTAGAAAGTACGTCTATGATATGTAGAATTGTAGATTCTTTGTTCCACAAAAGCATTACTTGAATCAATATGATAGGTATCAACCAAAAACAGAAAAAAAATAGCACAAAATGGAAGTGACTTTGTATTAATATGGAAGTTTATATTAGCACAGTAACATTGGACAGAAATCAGGAAAGTGTAACAATGTGAAACTAAAAAAATTACAAAATGGCAGAAAAAAATTAAGATAGTTTTAGGGCTGTTTGAGACGCTCTAGTCTCTCGTGATCTCAACTAATCCCAGATTTCCAACAGAGTATTTACCTACTTAACCACCTTGTCTCTTGTTTATCTTGAGATATTTTCGTTCAACTCCTGTTTTGTTACAGCTCAAAACGCAACGTCTCATTAATTGACCATTGCTATAGCATTGCTGTGACATCAACCTACAAAATAAAATTCTCGATTAGTTATCTATTCTAACATCATAATCACACTAGAATATTTTAATTTAACATATAATTATCCTAAAACACTTAGAAGCACATATCATGCATATTATAGTAAAATAATCATGCTTTATTATAATTTTATATCTAACTAGGCAATAATTCAACAATTATAAAGCTCAAAAATAACTCTCACTTGGAGAGTTAACAAAAAGTTTCGCAAGTAGCTGATGGAGCACAGGGGGTAAAGAATTGAACTAGTACTAGGTTGGACCTCTAAAGGTGGTGGCAAATACTCTAGTGGTGAATGAGTTTCTGGCCCTGACTCGGTATATAGTCGTTTTGAAGGTGTCTAGATGCTCCTGAGAATCTTGGGTCCCTTCGTACTTGGGCAGCCAAGGGTTGGGTTGCCATCATGACAAAGTCTATGAAGGGACTATCTTCCTTCACTTCCTCAGTGTGCTGATTGTGGGCGGCCTGGCCCTACACAGTGCTGGATTCGAGTGCGTGGGAGGGAAGTCATCCTTGAGTGTTGTCGGCGTGGATATTGCTAGGGCCTAATGCTTGCTAGCATGATGGTAGGCCTGTGTTTCTCCCTGATTGTATGGCGGAGGTGGAGGCATATTTTCTCCCCGACGTTCCCCTAACAATCTTTCCATGTTTTCGAGGCATTGCAATATCAGGGTCATCATGGCTGGCATGAAATTCCCACCTTGGTTGGTTGCGCAAGGGCTTGGGTAAGCAAGTGGGACGAAGGCGGAGACAGAATCCTCGCCCATATTGTTGTTTCCTAGTACATTAGGGTTGTGCATGCATTGTTGCGGGGCCCCTCACTATTGTTGTGCCTCCTTCATTCGATTCGGCATTTTGGGGGCTGTGGCGGCGGAGGTTGTTGCTGCTAGTGGTGGTTACGCAATAGGCTGCATATATTCACTACTCTGGGGTGGAGATCGAAGTTTATCGTTCCCAACAAACAATGTCAATATTTAATCCCAGTGGGTCGGGATTATTATTGGATCTCTGAACTAGCAATGTTTATGGCAGAAAAAACCGCAAATGATGAGAGATCATTGTGTATAAACAGGAAGCTAGGAGTCAAAATGAGGTGGGTGATGTTACCAAAAAAAAAGAGGTGAGTGGATGTGTGTTTACACATTGACAACAAATAAAAATTAGAGCTATCGAGAATATACGCATAACCATTTATTTGTGAAGGGGGTTTCACTAAAAATGAATAAAATCCATCTTGCCTTGGCGTTCAAGAAGCCCCCTCCGTAACAAAAGCTTTCTACCAATATAAACTGTCATATACTCTACCCTTTCAATACATAGGCTTTTATTCCCTGAAACTTCCCATGACAAAGAAAAATCATAAAATAATAAAGGATATTTTACAGATTTCATCTCATACGGCTCCTCGTTCAATTCTTTCGAAGTCATTGGATCCTTTTCCTGTTATACTTTTTTGTTGGGATAAATCTAAACCGGCTTTAATGTATTTTAAACTTCGGTGATTATACTCTTTTCGAATGACAAATCAACAGAATAATCATACATCGATTCATAATACTTAAAAATTATTCATAACATGGGATTAGAATTATTTTACACAAGTGTAAGTTATCATCTTAATTTTGATTGTTGATCTTATTTATAACATGGGATTAGAATTATTTATATGTAAATCGTTAAATGAATATGTTATAGACCTGACAAAGACCCATATTCTAGAAGGACCAATAAAAGACAGCACAAAAGGAAGAGAATCTCCTATTGATGACGATCCTATCCAGACAGCTAAGCAGTTGGACTTGGGCCCCCAATATTCCTAAGAGGCCCAGAAGTATACTCCTTCAGGTAACCCATCTATAAATAAGGGGTTAAACTAATAAGGTACGCACTCTCAAAACCCTCTCTCTTAGCTTGTCACTGTGCACACACCCCACGCCTTGATTATGTCGATTATTATTGTGCACAGTACAGTGATCGACCTACCCTCAAAGGTATCTCATTCATAGATACTTGAGAGAGGACACCTAGATCCTACATAAAATATACCAGCCACCGGTTGGACATCTCTGTCTTTCAGACAGAACATTGGCGCCGTCTGTGGGGAACGATAAACTTCGATTCCCACCCAATAATGGTGAAAGCGCAGTAGCCACCGCCTCATCCAAATCCTAACACGATAAATATAATCAATCATTTAAGGCAGATCGGAGTTCGCAATTTCTGCAAAAAAGCATGACGAAATTGAAATAGAGATTGAGATCAAATCATGGCTACCCCGGTCGTCGAGATCATGGTTGAGATTAAGATCAAGACCAAGACCGAGACCCTGGCCCGAGATCAAGAATAACAAAATGGGAGCAAATCAAGTAAAGAGCAAAAGCTAAGTTTTCTTCTTTTGTCTAGTCTTAATTTGCCTTAAAAAACTTTTTTTTTTTATTTTAAAAAAAAGAAAAAAAAGTGATCCATCTTTTTAATATTATTTGAGAAAAGGATGCATCTTTTTAATATTTTATATCGATATTCGATGGAAACACCATCTTTTAAAGGATCTACCTTTTTGAAATTTTACATCCTTTTAATATTTGAGAAAAGATCCACAAGGATCCAGCCAGAGCAACCAATTTGAACTCCAGGTTAACAATATGTTTTTATAATTCAAAAGTAAATATGCAAGTTCATATTCATATGTTATTATATGAAGGTAACCCGATGAGTGTAGATCATGTGACTTTGAATATGCATATTGCTCATCATGATTGAAAGCATAGGAGCAAGCCAAGCTATGTTTTGAATCAATATTCCCCTAATCATTGAAAAGTGCAAGGCAGGCAGATATATTTTGAATCAATAGTTAACAATGTGACGTTATTATACTTCAATTTCATTAATTGCTAAAATATTCATAAATGCCATCAATTGTCAATCGCTTGAAAAGTGGGCTATTATATTGGCAATATGTTGGCTTGTTCACAGAGCGGCTACTATTTTGCATTTTATGATCCTTATTTTACGGCATGAATAAATGCTTTTTACAAGCCATGTTTTTAATATATTTATGTGCCAAGATTCTATCAAAAATATTTATGGCCTCAATCTGAAAGCTTGCATTTTTTAAGGCCAAGAGATGGTAGGTCCGTGGCTATATTTTTTGTTGATAACTTATTCTCAATGGTTGTGCTATGCATTACAATTAAAGAGGAAGAACGCAGTGGGCGCAAAGAGACTACTGCATGTAGATGTTGCAGCAAATTTTATGACAATGCACCATTTCATAAGGTTGGTTCACTCAAATTGAGCAATCAAGAAAAATGAAGTGGTGAAGACGTGAATGTCTGCAACCACAAAATAAAATTAAGGGCCTATTTGTCGATATTGTAACGTGTAAAGCAGCCAAGAACATATTGGCTTCAAAGGCTATCAGTCAATTTTGAAAAGTCATCTTGTAATATCTGTTAGAGCCAAATTAATGAAGAATAGTGGGACCCGCAAAGATAAGACAAGTCTGCTCAAATACAAAATCATGATATGGAAGCCAGCAAAGAAAACTCATCACATGAGGTAGCGGATCATTAGCCAATTGATTTGCATTAATGCCAGCAACGCCACTTGTGATTCAAAACCAACCTGGATTACCTGAATTTCATCAAGGCCGGATAAACCCAGGTCCTTTTGGTAACTCGGACAATTCTCAGACCGCGTGAAAACCCGGTTGAAGACCCTTTCTAAGGCATGTTTGCAGCAAGCTCGGTGGACGGCCAGAAATACAATCCAGATAAGGATATAATTTCTCTTATGTTAATTCACTTATTATCATAATATGACATCTCATAGTTGCACAAACCACTTACAATTTTCCCAAGCAAAAAATGGGTAATTAATATGCAGAATAAAGAGGAGTTGGATTGATATTCAAAGCCTGCTTCAATTGGCATATCAGCTAACACCCAACAATAATCATCTCAGCTAAGTCATGGCCAGAGCTGGGATCAAACTTCAATAATTACAAAAATTTGGCATCACGACCAAAACGAGGATCAGATTTCGGAGTCGTCCTCTATTACAAGCAGGATGTTTATAAACTAACGGGGAAATACTCATTTCCTTTATATAATTTCTTGCTGGATGAAATTTTTACATGCTTTGAAATTTCTATAAATGTTGGTATATGATATATATACTTCTTAAAAGTTGGTCAACATTGCTATACATGCGTATATTATTAGCAAAAGCAGGTTGGCAAATATTTTATGAAAAAAGGAGCGACAGATTTCACCAGGAGGCCACGTTCCCTAAGTTTCATGGAATATAGATGAAGATCAACAAAATTGGGGAGCATTGAGCCTTCGTGATGGACGCTCAATCAAATCCGACATAATGAATTATGGTCAACTAATAATTATTGTTGATTGATGTTGATCAATTATTAATTGTTAATTGCAATTATTATCTAATTACACCTGGATAATTACTGATTATTGGTTGAATAAATATTATTGCTAATTTCCTTCTTCATACTTTATTATGTTGCAAAGAATAATCACTCAGGTGGTGTGGAGATCCCTTCTAAAAAAGGTGGAAAAGATCTAGATCCACTCAAATA